AAAATAGAGTTGATTTCTTTTTAAAAGGACAGAGCGTTTTAACCAAGTGCTTGGAGCACTTCTTAACAGCCCTGAGACAGAACTATTCTGGCCTGCAACGCAGCTCGATGCCACTCAGTTATTTCTGTTCATCTGGTGTAAGGTGTAGGAAACCCTCTTCCCCTGTGCTCGTTTCTGTGGTGGTTGTGCCCCAGTTTGAGGAAGACACCGTGGGCATTGCGCCTGTATCACACACCGAGGAACATTTTCAACTTTAATCGAAGTGTGACCTGTATTTGGGAGCACAGACACAATTCCCCCAATCCCACATAACGCGGAGGGTGACGAGAGGGCTATTTCAGTGAAGTGGAGCTTGATTTCTTTGGTTGAAGCATCCTCTGCTTCCGTTTCATGACCTGTAATTTCTGTGGACAAAGTGACGGGTTGAATTAAGAACGACCGAGGGCTTGGACTGGTACAGAATTGCTCGAGTTTTTTACCAGCAGGCACCTGGCTTGGGTTCTAACCCAGCCAAAAGGCTTGCATGCTGGTGACGGCACGGTGCCCTGCATGAAGCGGGGTCGGTGTTTGAGCCCTGCCCCAGCTCTGCTGCGAAGACCAGCAGAGAGGCCACGAATTGCAGAGGCAAGAAAGCTGAATTAGTGCTTTGAGAAGTCCCTGGGTACAAGAGGTGGGAATATTCTGGTAAAGGGAACTTGTGTTTCTGTCCGTGTACCAAGTATGCGGTTTTAGTAGTAGGCTGGCTCCAGTGCTGGCAATCCCACTTGTTTCACGGGTATTCATGTCAGAAAATGAATATAATGCCAAGATTGTGGGAAGAAAACTTCACTATTCTCAAGCACACCTTCTATTTTTAACTCTGAAATTTCTGTGGTGGAAGCCTTTTTGCCAAGTAGTTGAGCTTGTCTGTATGTTCAAACTAAGACTTGGTGGCTGTTTTATCTTGGTGATGGTGAGCTCCTCCACGCAGCAGTGTGATTTAGATCTCATTTACGCAAGCAGTTTGCTTTGCTAGTGCGTTACCAGGTACTGGGTAGTGCAAGTATACATGTTTGCACGACACACAAAAAAAAAATCAGTTGTCACAGGTTTTCTAGAGAGACATGCTTTCGGGGGAAATGTGTATTAGTGTGTGTGAGGTTTCTTTTTTTTTCTGCTTGTTGCTTTGTCCCAGAGAAAAAAATCAGCTCTTTACATTACTTTGCCATTTCAGAACAATGTCCAGCAACTACTGGGATGAGAAATTGATTACCTGGTCATTCTTTGTGTTCTTAGCCCTGAAGTTTGTGTCTTGTACTCTAAGAGGTGCTAAGTTTGTTGAAGAAACCTCCAACTCTGGCCATTTTCTATGGCTTTCAAGGGGTGAAATTTTATTTGTAGCTGGTGAAAACCCTAGCAATTGTTATCCTGTAGGCTCTGTTGCTATTTGTTCTTTTCTTGCTGGTTGACATGTCAAACTTATTTGAACAGAATGGCTGTAGAAAACGGATGGTTATCTTGATCCTGGTTGTCGCAAGTCAAAAAATTGTCACCTGTAAATATTTAATGAACCTTTATGCAACTGACCCGATCGAGAACTGAGTAATGATGCGGTCGCAGGAGTCACAGCTGCTGTAACCCGGATCTGCAGGGAAAAGAGAGCACCTTTCCTTTCCCAGGCTCTCTGTGACTTATTAGGCTTGTATTATTGCTAGCTTTTTTCTTTGATATTTAAAGCAAGAGGTGTTTGTTTGGAGCTCTGCCTTAACAGCCTCCTCTTTCTTAGCTAGTTTGGTTTTCTGTGTGGGGTTTCTGTATGGTTTTTTTTTTTTTTTTCCACGTGGGCTTTCTGCTTCTTGCAGGAAGGCAACAGAATGCTCAGTAAAAGAAAGCTGAGCTCTCATCGCCCCTCAGCCCTTTCTCTGCAGAAAATAACCCCCCAGCTTTTTACTTCCTTGTAGATTGTTGGTCAATTTTTGCACTGTCCTCCTGTGCTGGAGACTGAGTTCAAATGCAGTTCGGAAGTCTGTGGTAAGGAAATGGTCTTACACAAAAGGAGAGATCAAAATGCTCTCAGATGAGTGGGAACTTAAAAAATACTACTAAAGCTGCTGTAAGAGGAAAGCTATGAAGCACAGAAAAACAGCCTTGATTTTGAGCACGCTAGTAACTATTTAAATCTACAATTTAAAATCCTCCAAGCAATATGGAAAAAAATTAGGAGGATAGGTGTATGATGTCCTTGCTGGGTTTGTGGTGCTTTCCACAGTGCCTGATTTCTGCTGTAGTGTCAGTTTGTGAGCAGCAATGCGTGACGCATTCGACTCTATCCCATGTGTTGTATCAGGGCACTGAATAATTAATATTCTCTGGAAAGGATTAATTTCCTCCACTTTTGTCTCTTCCTTCTTGGTGCCTGGTATGTGCTGACAATTTTTAGCAGAAACTTGCTAATATGGATTTCTTTGCCACAGAAGAACTGCTGCTGCAGCACAAAAACTTCAGTGTGGCCTGTATGCTGTTAGCTGCCACTGCACAGGCTGAATTGGTCGTATTTTGTTACAGAGTCTCGGTGAATTGTTTTAGGAATGTTGAAGCTCAAAAATGAGATGTAGCCTTGAACACTAATTTTAATAATATGGCAGGAACTGGAGTTACCGATGTCAAGTCACTAGTTACTAATATGTTTTACACTGGAGAATAGCCCCATAATGCATAGTCTCTGTGTATCAAAATATTTCAGTGGCCAAAGAAATCTTCCCAGGTGCTTATGAATACTCGGCAGCACTGTGTACACAGCGGACACAATTTTACGTGATGCAGGAAGAGTGGAAACCATTGGGAAAAGCAGCGTGCTGTTTACCCGGGGTACCTAATTTCCCGTGAGCACTTCACCCAAAGGGGAGTGACAGAAATATGCACTGTGCGACTGGCTTCCTACATAAGTATTTCTTCCTGAGAAGTGCATTAGGATGAGGTTGTTCAGCCCAGTACTTTTGGTCAAATACCGGTGCTCAGGAGACCCTCGTCCTCAGCATGTTCAGCAAATAAAGTTGCAATCACCCAGTCAGCACCGCCTTCTTTTCAGGTGACTTTTATGTTATTGGTTTACGAGGCCAGGATGGCTCTGCCTTTGGCCTTCTCACAGGGGCAAGACATTAATTTGGTGCCCCAGCCCACAGAAATTCTCTAGTCACAGCAGTTGTTTTAGAAGGATCTAATGTCAGCCAGCAGAGTGATGGAGAGTCTTTTGTTAAATACATTATCACAAGGCTGCAAAAACTTTGAAAATAAGAACAGATCCAACAAAACCACGGAGGTTTCTGGGTAAGGAACTGACCTTTTTGAATTTCACAATCTCCCTGGACTGGCACAATATAATTGCTTTGACACCAGTGCCTGGCAGCGCCAGGACACGAGAAGTTTGTACCTCCGGTTGGGCTTGCCAAAGTGGTAGGTAGCAATTCAGGCGCTAGTAATTTGGCTTTAGATGTTTTCTGAGGGCTTATACTGGACTGACTTGTTTCACAATGCCTTAAAATAACTCATCTTTGCAGGAGATCTTTGGTTGGGGCAGTTAGGGATTTTCTCTTCATATTCTTCACCAAACAATGTAGCTTTTGTTACACTTTTTTTTTTTTTTCCCCCTAGTCAAACAAAAAAAGCTTAATAAATCTTATAGGGACAACCCTGACAAAGTCCCCATTATTTTTCCTCTTGTTGCTGTTGTGCCTGATGGGTGCCAGGAAGTCCTTATAACTTTGATGTTCTCAGAGGGCTAGTCTAGGCTCTCCTTAGTGAGGATTATATCGCTTATGCTGCACAAGTGTTTGCTCTGTGAGTGAATGAAAGTGACCTGCTGCAAGAGACGAAGTCCAACCAGGAGGTCTAGAAGAGAAAGAACATATCGGGAAATCCAGTTACAATTCATACACAACGCAGCGTGGAAATGCCAATTAGCGTGGAACTGACCCACAGCGAAATGCCTTGAATGAGTTCCAGGAGCTGAAATGAAGCACTGAAGAATGCCCAGCTTCTCGAAACATAAAGATTTGGCATATTTCGTTTTTTTAAGAACGATGAAATGCCAGCGTTGTCCCCCGCTTGGCATGAAAGTGAGTCTTAAAATACCAGAGCTTCCCCTTGACTGGGATTATTTTTACTGCTGGTTGATCAGCACTCTGGGAACGGCCTCAGACACTCAGCCGAGCACTCGCTGCGGCAGGGGGTCGGGGCTGCGCGGAATTCGGGAGTTCAGTTCGGTGTAGAATCCTCCGTTTTTACGAGGAACGTTCTGACGTGTCTGTCACAAAGAGGTAACGTGTGCTCAGGCGTATCGCATCCTGAACGCTTTCCGAGTTTCGTGCCTTTTTTTTTTTTGACTAAACCGAAACACCCGGTGGCCGCAAATCCCTTGAAGTTTATTTGACCTCCCTCAGCCGCAACCCTGGGGATGGGGGGGGGGGGGGGGCGACCGCTCTCCTTGCGAGGGAAGCAAGGCCGGCCTCCGCTCGCTCCCGCGGGCAGGGAACCCCTCGGTTCGCCTCAGCCCGGGGCGGTGGCGGGGGGGAAACCCAGCCAAAGCGCTGGGGGAGGCTCGGGCCGGGGTTCGGGCGGGCAGCAGCCGCTACGCTCCCGGCCTGGCCCGGCCCGGCCAGCCACCTCCTCCTCCTCCCTCACACACCCGTCCGCGGCGGGGGCGGGGCGGCGCGCGGCGGCTGCAGTCTTGTCGCTGCCGTATTGGCTGGCGGGCCCGTCGCTCCCGGCGCCCCCGGCGTCTCATTGGCCGGCGCGCGGGGGGGTGTGGGGGGGGGGGGAGAAGAGGGGAAACCTCCTCCTCCTGGGAGAGCTCCCGCCCACATTCCACAGCTGGAGCCGGGCGCGGTCCGGCGGCTGGCCGCTCTCCTCGCCCCCCCATTGGTGGTCTCGGCGGAGGGGGCGGGGCCAGGCGGGGGCGTGGCGGGGCTGAGGGGGCGCGGAGAGCAGCTGTGGAGAAGCGGGAGGGGGGGGGGGGCGCGTGACCCGCCCGAACAGTCCCGGCGGGGACGGGGAGGCGGCCTGAGCGGAGGGCGAGCAGAGCGGCTCCGCGGCGTGAGCCGGCAGCCGCGAGTGGGCAAGGGGCCCACGGGTGTGTGTGTGTGTGTGTGTGTGTGTGTGTGTGAGGGGGGGGGGGGTGGAGGATCGGCCCGCGGGGTCGCCCCGTCGCTTTGCGGCCGCCATGGAGGTGTGCGAGAGCGGCGGGGAGCATCCGCCGCTGCTGCACTGGGACCGCAAGCTGAGCGAGCTGTGCGAGCCCGCCGACCCCGACACCCTGCTGTGCCACACGGTGAGGAACGGCGGCGGCGCAGCCCGGCTGGAGCCGCCGGGACGGCGGGGGGTGGGATGGCTGATGCACCCCCCCTCCCTTTCTCTCTTTCACCCCCCCCCCCCCCCCCACCACCCACGGGCGGCCGCGTTTCGCGGGGGGGGGGGTGGGCCGTGACAGGGGTCGTGCCGCCTCCTCCCTTCCGCGGCCGGGCGCGGAGTGACGGCAGCCGGGGTCTCGCCGCCCCCGGCCCCCTCCGCAGGCCGGGAGCGCAGCCCGGGCCTCGCCGCGTCCCCCTCCCCGCCGCCGGGTCTCCCGCTTCCCCCTCAGCGCCGCCTCCTTCTCCCGGGAGTTCCCCTCAAGGGTCGCCGGCCGTGTCTCCTCCTCCAGAGCGGCTCCCCGGCGCCCCCCGGCGCAGGAGGGACCGGGACAAGGGCCCGGTTTGTCCCGGCGGTGGGGACCGAGGGGATCCCCTTCCCCGGAGCCGGGTCGTTGCCCATCGTGTGTCAGCCTTGGAAAAGTTGACTGTCCCATAGGCAGAAGCAGTGGGGGGGCTTTTAAAGACACTGGTGAAATCCTTTTTGAGTGGTTTTGAGGGCCAGCAAATTAAGTTTGGTTTTGTTTTGTTTTTTTTTTTTCTTGGCTGGACTTTTTGCTTGTGCAAAATGCATAGTTGGGACAATCCCAAGGAAGCGCGTCTTGTTATCTCTGCTCTGTTGTTCCTCTGTTAATCCAGAGGCTTTTTTTGCAAGCACGGAGATACAGCTTCATCAAAGCTGTCTAGGTGCAAATCCAAAACGGAAGCGAGAGCTGGACCGCTTCGGGACAGCGTGCACAGAAAAGATTCTCCTCGTCCACCCTTGGTGCAAAGCACAGGGCGGCCGAGCTCGGAGCAGTTGTGGAGCTCGTGCTCGGACGGGGACCCAGTGTAACGTGGTGGTGGTGGTGGCTGGCGTGTGGCAGGGGGCCTGAGGAAAGGTGCTGACCTGTGCCCTGCGTTTCCTTCTTGAGCTTAAGAGAATGATGTGTAAAAACCACATCACCCCCCCCCGAGAGGGACCAGCCTCTTCCCGTGGGAGCGGTGGTGATCCCGCGGGGCGGTGCGCGGAGATCGGGGTGTCAGTCTCGAAAGGCAAACAAGGAAAATTGTATTTGTTGTGTGCGGTACCTGGTGGCCTTACTGATCCGGGATCGTATCCGTCACGGGCTCCGAACCTCGTTTCAGCAGGAAGCAAGCCTGCTGCACGCTGACTGCCTTTAAACGTTGTTTGACTTATTTGTCTTTGAAAATTCATGGGCTTTCTTGCGCAATATGTATCTTCTGGTAGATTGGGGATAAAGCAATCATGTGTCATGGTGGGTTGTTTTTTTTAAAGCAGCAGGAACACTTAACAATGGAAAGCTTTTCCTTCAAACAGCTGTTTTCTTGTGTTTTTTTTCTTTAACAAGACACAGCCTTTAACAAGAGGAACATTGTGAATGAAAGGAGAGGCTCTCCGGAGAGTGCTCCCACTCAAATTTTATAGTTGTGCTGGGATACTTCCTCCTGCTTTGTTTGGATACTTGTGATGAGAATGGAGTTGTCACTCTTCTTATTTACTATCCTTGTACTTTTTTTAATTAGCGCCCTGAAAGAGATCTTGTGCTTGGGCTAGAACTTGTGGCTGCAGTGACATGGATATGTGTGTTTTCTGCCCTATTTCAAGGAGCCTGGGACTTGGTTTTAAGTGTAGCTTGACAAGCAAAACATCGTGGCTGTCTGGTGGATGGAAATGTGGTGCTTCTCCGTCTGCTGTTTCCAAGTTTTACTGGAGGTTTTAAGCTTCAGATGTTACGATGATGTTGTTTTGTAAGAGGCAGTACATAGCTGGACCTGCAAAAATTTGAGCTGTTGACCCGCTTTGTTGGGAGTAACAGTCTACCATTGATTTGTTTGTGTGGTCGTCTTGGTTTTTTTAGGAGTTTAAGATTTCTTTAGGGACTGTCTTGAAGTCAAATAAAAAGTGTGCAATCAATTTACCTCTTTGGTTGTTTTTGGAATTCTACTGAAAAAAGCTATCAGTAAAAAAAAAAAATTAAGGCAAATAAATGCTGTGGATAAAGTAAGTGTAGTAAGGTATTAGGATCTTTAGAGGAAAAAAAAAAAAAGTTTTCTGAAATTAACGTTCTCGGGGCAGGGGGAGGGAAAGCACATGTTTCTGCCTGTTGAACTTTTTCTTTTGCAAAGTACATCCTGCTGTGTGGAGGAAAATACTGTGCCTGATATCATGAAACACAAGTTCTCCATTTACCCCTGGCCAAAACTTCATAGCATCATTTTAAAAAAAAAAACAAAACAAACCAACCCTCTGGATGAAACATCTGTTCTTCTCCTGGCTTGAGCTTTCCATCTGGGAGGACTGGTTTGACCCAGCTGGTTTCTGCTGTGTTTGTAAACGTATTGTAGGGTGTTTCTGAAAAGATGGAGGTGATGAGGAGACCCTCCTAGGCTCTGTCTGCCAGAGTGCCCACCACCCATGCTGTCATCCTCCCGGCCGAGGAGCACACGCCCTGTGGCACCTTCTGCCCTTGGCACGCTCCCGAGGTGTCCCACAGCGGGATGTGCAAGTCTGCGTTCAGGGAAACTCCTGAGTAGGCTTAGGAAAGGAGCCTGGGAGAGTCACGGGGCCCTGGGAGCGTGAGCTGGACTGGTGGGATGAGGGAGGGGACGGTGATGACTGAGGGGAAGGCTCACAAGCAGTAACGAGGATCGGTGGCCTTTGGCAGTTGAACCCGTGCGCACACACAGACAAGAGTGAGAATTCTGTGCCAGCTGCCTTTTGTGTATTTTAAGTTAAATTTTAACCTTTTTTTTTTTTTTACGACCACAAAGGCTGTTCGTGGGCCTGGTTGATTTGAAGCTAGTAGACAAGTGTGAAAGTATGCATACACTTAAAAACTCGACCTCTATTTTAAACTGTTCCAGCCTGCCTTCATTACCGGGGCTGAAATCCAGCCTCCCAGGGATTTAAATTTCTGTTTAGTAGCTGATGATTTCACCAGCGCCTGAAGCAGCATGAGGAGCAGTTCCCTCACTCCACTGGTGCTGTCGGTGATACCGTTGGCTGTGCTGGGAGAAAGCGGGACCTCGAGGAGCTCCGCTCTGGTGTCAGCAGGCAGCAGTCCCTGAGGTGGCTCATTAAAATCTTCACAGTTTATAGTAATCACCTGAATGCCAGATAGCTTTATAGTGGTTATTTTTCCAGAGTGGCTTAGCTTCCCCTCGAAGAAAAGGCTGAAAGGCTTCCCAGAGGTGTGTTCATGGTGCATGTAACATGTCTGCATATATAATCTACCTATGCCCTGGAGCTGGTTATGAGTGTGTGTTGGTAATACCATACGCTGGCAGTGTGCAAGGCATCATTAGTATTGTGTGCTTTTTCTTTTTTCCTGGCAGTCGAGCAGAAAGGAAGCCCCAAGCCTGCCGCTGCCTGCAGGGAGCAGAAGCACGGGCAGGTTACAAACTCTTCGCCTTCGTGCCGCTGCTGTCCCTTCCCGTAACGCGCCGGCAGGCTTGAAGGGGGAGAGGGAGCTCTGCTTGCGGTCGTGGGTCTCCCTTGGAGTTGATCTGCGGTTGTACGTCGCCCGTCTGGGGTGGCATCTTCAGTGACAGATGCCAAATCTGACGCGGACGGATAAGTCTGTTGACAAACATGCTGTGAAACGCCAGCTACCTGTCCCATTGCTGGATGGGAGATGAAAGGCAGATGGTTCTTAGGAGCCTTTGACATTTCGAAAGTCGTCCTTATTTAATACCGAGGAGGCAGTCTTTTATTACCCATTTGCATGGTTATTTTAACACATTAGCTGCTGGCTGCTGCTCCCAGATGGTAGCAAAATGCAGCTGAATGTGATCTTGGCACAGCAGATGTAGAACCGCACCTGCCCTACAGGTACGTGGAGGCAGCAGCTGGCTTAAATGTTTAGGTCTAAATTCCCAGGTGTCCTGTCCCGAGTGTCTTGATGAGGGGGTGGACTGGGAGCCATTTCAAACGCCAAGTAGCCCAAATTGCTTATTCTTTAAAAAGCCTGCCTGTTGAACTTTGACGCTCACGTGAAAGAGCTGCAGTGCCTCCAACACCACATCGCTGACGCTGTCGTCCGAGCGGCGTTTGAGCTCAGCGAGCCTGTTGCCCTGTCGCTGGGGGTGCTGCGGGCGGCTCAGCCTTGGCGCGTGGGCGCCGTCTGGGTCGGCACCCCGGGCCTTGGCGACCAGATCGCTGCTCTCTCCCCGCCAGAGCGAAACCGAAGCCATCCACCCCTGAAGGTTAGCGTTCAGGGTTGTGACCGTCCTCTAAGATGAGCTGAGGACACTTGGAGCCGCCCTTCTTTCCTCAGATAAAAATTGCCCGTTACGAGCCTCTGAACTTCACCGGGAGCTTGCCGTGACTCATTTCCTCTGCCACAAAACCGGTGGTCGCTGTTACTTCATGTTCTGATGACTTCTGCAGAAATGCTGCCTCTGAACGAGCTGCCAGGGATTGCCTCTAGCTTTTGGAGTACGTCAGTGGCAGTAATTAATTTAAATGGACGGCAGTGCTTGGTTTTTACAACCTGTGTGTATTGGATGAAAAGTTGCGGTTACCACAGCACGTATGGATGTGGAGCTGGCTGTATCTTACTTTGTGGTGGCTGCATGTAGCTCTCTAAAGCTGTCTAAAATCTGGTGTCAATATGGTTTGATCTATTTTTATTATTTTTTTTTTTTTTTTTGGTAAGGGGGCAAGGTACTTCATTTTATTTGAAAGTGGGGTTTGGCCTGCTGCCCATTAACAAGAAAGCTGAAATCTCTCATTCTTTCTTTATACACCTGCATACAGAGGAGCAGACAACTAACTTCAGGTGAAATATTTGTAAAGTCAGTACTTGCAAGGATTTTATCAAAATCCTCCGGTAAAAAGAGGACACGTGAAAGTGAGATTTTTGAATAGTTGTATGCAGACTTTGTACAAAGCAGTTGTGTTAAATTTTGAGAATGACTT